CTAAGCTCACGGTGCTGGATTGCCTGGGGTGATTCGTAGGGTCCGCAGCGGTCCATCGCAAGGTGAAACAAGGTATGCAGTGACGAAAGTCAAAGGGAAATGAGCGGGCATCTGCTAGCTTGCTTGTAACCCTAACCCAGTTGAATGTAAAACATAACACAGAAAGCAAGCATCGGAATAAAGACCAAGTAAAAGGCGGACTTACACGTAAAAACACAGTATAAAAAAACAAGCGTCTGAGCAAAGCGCAAGTGGAGAAGAGGGGAGGGAATCTCGCTTTGTTTGAATGCCAAAGCAAACCCAGATTTCGCGCTTCAAAGGAGTGCGCACGGATGAACGTGGAAGGCAGCAGGGTTGGCCACCTAAACAATGCTTTTCGAACTATAAGAAAGCAACAACTGAAAATCTTTCGGCGGCATGCGAGTCAACGAGTTATCAAAGCTCTGCGAGTTGTCGCCCCCCCCCCCCCCAAATCTCAGTCTGTGCGCACGCAAAAAAAAAAAAGTAAGTCAAGAAGGGCGATGAGGAGCCATGCATGGCGGTTTTTTTTCTTTGCCGCTCCCTTCGTTTCTTTTGCTTTGTGCTTGGTTTATTGTTTCGCTCTCATGTAACACCAGTGCAGCCCCTAGCCTGCTCTTCCGTGAACGGCGCAACCGCCACTGCCACCCTCCCCTCTCCCCTCCCCCTCTGATCTTTGCTTTGACGCTTGTTTTTTGTATTGAATTTTTTGCGTATAGTTTGTTAAGGCTCCATGCGGGCTAGCAATTTTCCGCTCATTTTATTTCTGAGCAACTGAATCGCTGACTGGCTCGGTTAAGCTGAACATACACCCTCCCCCCTAACAAACACACACACGAAAAAAAAATTAATAAAGAACTGCACCCATTCCATTCCCATTCTATTCCTGTAAAAAGGCATCTAATTCCATTCCCATTCCATTCCCCTCGACGTTGTCGCCATTCCATTCCCCATTCCATTCCGGGGTCGCGAAAATGCGGAATGATTCCGAGAATCATTCTAACTCCGGAGGGGCAACTCCACAACACTGGTCTCTGCTCACTATCTGAAAGCGAGCGCAGAACAATGGACGCCGGTGTTTGGCATTCTAGTTCTTTTATTTATACATTCTGCTGGCCAGAAATGGCTCAAGCAGGAAGGGTAACACACAAGTGAAAACACACTCATTATAAACACAGAAGCTGCTATAACTGATCACGTCATGTGATCCAGACACATCGCGCATGAGCGCACTTGGCACTCACTCTACCATTTGTGCCACTTTAAACACACACATTTACACTTTGCATGAACTCTGTACGTCACACACTCACATCAGTTATCAAAGATAACTATCTAGCGTGGCTGGAAAGTCGCTTTAAAAAACAAAAAACATCACTTGGGAGATTGTTTCAGTCTGATATAGAACACACAAAAAAAGAATTTTTTAAGGTGTTAGTCCGGGCAAATATGGGAGTTGGGAGTAGGTCTGGAATCAGTATGTTAGGAAAAGGAAGGGGGCCAGACCCAGGTTTTTGTGCAAAATAAGAAATAAAAACTTGAATCTCGCTATCTTTCTGCGATCCGCTAATAGTTGGATATTGTTTGCCCGCATTAGCGAGGTGGGCGAGTCAAATCTGATATACTTCTTAGAAATAAGACGCACACACTGCCTTCGTAAATTTTCTGAGATGTTAATGTCAGTGGCTGTGTGCGGGTCCCAGAACATGCTCGCATATTCTAGCTTAGGTCTGACTAGTGAGTTGTAAGCCAATAATCTGACATCAGAGTTCGCGGCGAAGGAAACCAAGCTTCTGGTACGCCGTTGAACAAAGTTTTGAACATGACCTGTCCACTTTAAATATTTTGTAATTGTCACTTCGAGCTACTTGATCTTATCTACCTCTAGTATATTTGTATTGTCAATGGTATAAGTAAACTGGAAAGGCTTCTTTTCATTTGTTACTCGAAGAAATATAGTCTTGTCTGAGTTTAGCTTTATGTCCCAAATTATGCAGCAGTTTCAAATTCTGGCTGGACATGCACTCAGAGCCTCCTGATCTTTCTGGGAAGAAATTTCCTTAAAAAGAGCTCAATCATCCGCAAATGACCATATGTTAACGGGCTCCTTAACTTCAGCTGTGACATTGTTTATATATATTAAAAACAAAAGAGGACCGAGAACGCTTCCCTGCGGTACCCCGGAGTCAACAGGTAGGGCCTCTGGGTATGTACCAGCTATTTACAACATACTGCGTCCGGTTGGATAAGTAAGCTCTAATCCGCTGAACAGTTTTGAAGGAAGGTCGTTTTGTTCTAGTTTGAAAATCAATTTATGATGCGGTACCCTATCGAACACCCTACTGAAATCCAGAAATACAACATCAGTTTGTCCTGCCCTGTTAAGAATTGAACTGACAGTGTGAATAGTGATTTCCAACTGAGTCACGGCTGATAACCTCCTCCTAAAACCATGCTGAAGTTCTGTGATAATATTCTGATCTTTAAAAGAATTTGTTAATATAACTTGCAACAATATGCTGCATTACTTTACATCGGACAAATGTGAGCGATATAGGACGATAAATTGAACCACACAATTGATTAACTTTCTTAAACGCCAGTCTAGGGGAAGGCAACTGTTAGAAAACAAATTTTGAAATATTAAAATAAAAAACCTTGATAATGACTCAGCATAGCAGATAAGGAATGCATTTGGTATTTTATTAGGACCACTGGATGACTTTGGTTTTAGATTCAGTAGCACGCTAAAAGCACCCTGAATGGATATAAAATCTTCGTCTAGAAAACCACGAAAATCAGTAAGAACTAATATTTTATCAGACTGGGAAAACCCTGACTGGAAATATTGATTGAAACATTGCTCAATCTAGGTATCGTTCAATATTAAGGCGTCGTCTATCTTAAGTTGCTGAACTGATCTTTTAGTATTGGAAACGTATAGAAAAAACTTGGGGTTCACTTTGTAGCGTCTCGGGTTGTTCTAGACTTGACTCGGAAGTTAAAATGGTCTGGAACGGTTGGTGAGAACACTAATCTTTTATTTAGTTAACTGATGATTACTTGTCCAAATTTATAATAATGATGAAAGAGCGATGTCGGTGTCTCTCCGGGCCGCTGGTCCCTTGTCGTTTTGCTGCCCACATAGACGGCGACGAAGTCCGTTGCATGCAGGCGTAAACGTTCAACTTTGCCGGGCAGCGTCCGTCTGGACACACCAGGAAAGCTAAATGTGTTCACAATAATGATGAAAGAGCAATGAGCAATGTCGCTGTCTCTCCAGGCCGCTGGTCCCATGTCGTTTTGTTGCCCACATAGACGGCGACGAAGTCCGTTGCATGCAGGTGTAAACGTTCAACTTTGCCGGGCAGCGTCCGTCTGGACACACCAGGAAAGCTAAATGTGTTCACAATAATGATGAAAGAGCAATGAGCGATGTCGCTGTCTCTCCAGGACGCTGGTCCCATGTCGTTTTCCTGCCCACATAGACGGCGACGAAGTCCGTTGCATGCAGGTGTAAACGTTCAACTTTGCCGGGCAGCGTCCGTCTGGACACACCAGGAAAGCTAAATGTGTTCACAATAATGATGAAAGAGCAATGAGCGATGTCGGTGTTTCTTCAGGCCGCTGGTCCCATGTCGTTTTGCTGCCCACATAGACGGCGACAAAGTCCGTTGCATGCAGGCGTAAACGTTCAACTTTGCCGGGCAGCGTCCGTCTGGACACACCAGGAAAGCTAAATGTGTTCACAATAATGATGAAAGAGCAATGAGCGATGTCGGTGTTTCTTCAGGCCGCTGGTCCCATGTCGTTTTGCTGCCCACATAGACGGCGACAAAGTCCGTTGCATGCAGGCGTAAACGTTCAACTTTGCCGGGCAGCGTCCGTCTGGACACACCAGGAAAGCTGAATGTGTTCACAATAATGATGAAAGAGCAATGAGCGATGTCGCTGTCTCTCCAGGCCGCTGGTCCCATGTCGTTTTGTTGCCCATATAGACGGCGACGAAGTCCGTTGCATGCAGGTGTAAACGTTCAACTTTGCCGGGCAGCGTCCGTCTGGACACAACAGGAAAGCTAAATGTGTTCACAATAATGATGAAAGAGCAATGAGCGATGTCGGTGTCTCTCCAGGCCGCTGGTCCCATGTCGTTTTGTTGCCCACATAGACGGCGACGAAGTCCGTTGCATGCAGGTGTAAACGTTCAACTTTGCCGGGCAGCGTCCGTCTGGACACACCAGGAAAGCTAAATGTGTTCACAATAATGATGAAAGAGCAATGAGCGATGTCGGTGTTTCTTCAGGCCGCTGGTCCCATGTCGTTTTGCTGCCCACATAGACGGCGACAAAGTCCGTTGCATGCAGGTGTAAACGTTCAACTTTGCCGGGCAGCATCCGTCTGGACACACCAGGAAAGCTAAATGTGTTCACAATAACGATGAAAGAGCAATGAGCGATGTCGCTGTCTCTCCAGGACGCTGGTCCCATGTCGTTTTGCTGCCCACATAGACGGCGACAAAGTCCGTTGCATGCAGGTGTAAACGTTCAACTTTGCCGGGCAGCGTCCGTCTGGACACACCAGGAAAGCTAAATGTGTTCACAATAATGATGAAAGAGCAATGAGCGATGTCGGTGTCTCTCCAGGCCGCTGGTCCCATGTCGTTTTGCTGCCCACATAGACGGCGACAAAGTCCGTTGCATGCAGGTGTAAACGTTCAACTTTGCCGGGCAGCGTCCGTCTGGACACACCAGGAAAGCTAAATGTGTTCACAATAATGATGAAAAAGCAATGAGCGATGTCGGTGTCTCTCCAGGCCGCTGGTCCCATGTCGTTTTGCTGCCCACATAGACGGCGACAAATTCCGTTGCATGCAGGTGTAAACGTTCAACTTTGCCGGGCAGCGTCCGTCTGGACACACCAGGAAAGCTAAATGTGTTCACAATTGTTCTATCGCAGCATCGCAGGCAGACAGGCTCTCCGGGTAGCTGGAACGTACTGAACTTTTATTACGGCCAGACAGTCTGTTTTATAGACGTAAGCAAGAGTGACGTAATAACGTTGGGCGAATCACATGCGACCTTTACAGATGTAACATTCCTTCCGCCTTTAAAACCGCCATACATGTCATTACGGTCGAGTCTACTTGGCTTGACGACGAAACTCGTACGATTGGTAGCGGTCCGGTGCTTTCCGGGTCCGGCTTCCTCTTCGAAGCGTTGTTGCTGTGGAAGACGCAGAGGCAGATCCGTCGCCTTGATCTTGCTGAGCAGCTGCAGGAGGCTCGGAGGCAGAAGCGTTGTGTTGAGTGTGCTGTCGATCATCGGGCTCAGGCACCTCGAGGAGCTGCTCTGGGTGTGGAACCGAGCCGGTGCCTTGACTCGGGAGCTCAGCGGCGTGGAACCTCGGAGCAGGAGATTCCGCCCTGGGTAGTTGACCAGCGCGGCTGCCCTCCGGGACTGCTTCCGTTGTGGCGCTCGGTGTTGGAGCTGGGATCTCAGGAAAAACAGACCCAGTCGAAGAAGCCCAACTTGCACGGAGATGGTCCATATGGATGAACCGTGTTCGATTATTCACATTCACCAAATATGTAGTGGGGCTCACAACTTGAGTTACCAGCCCTTCTTCCCAGGACACTTCCTCGCCTCTAGTCGTTTTTACAAGTACTTTGTCACCTGCTATAAACGACTCTCCCCGACCTCTCCGGCCGTTTCGTAGTGCAGTTTCGCGTTCTTGCTTAGTCCTCATGTCTCCTGCAAAGTTTGGTCGTATCAGTGAAAGCAGTGTTCGAGGTTGACGCTTCAAAAACAGTTCTGCTGGGGTCTTCCCAGTAACGGAGTTTGGTGTATTCCTGTACGCCAACAAAAAGTCGTTTACTCGTTCCAGAATAGTCCTTTTTCCCCCGGTGATTTGATCATGTCTTACTTGTTTCAACAGGGTAGTCTTCGTAGTTTGTACCAGGCGCTCAGCGGCTCCATTCGAGGCTGCTTGATATGGTGGTATCCGGGTATGTTTTATGCCATGCCGCTGCAGGTAGACCCCAAAGTCCTCTGCGGTGAATTGTGGGCCGTTGTCGCTCACCAACTCTTCTGGGTAACCGTAGGCTGCAAAAACAGAGCTGAGGCACCGCACAGTTTTTTCAGTGGTCGTGCTTGACACTACAAACACTTCAATCCACTTTGAAAAAGCATCCACCAACACAAGAAAGTTCAAGCCCTCCTTCGTTGCGTAGTCGACGTGTATCCGTTGCCATACGCGACTTGGATACGCCCAGGGCTGCAGGGGTCCTGGCGGTTTTGCTGGCAGAACACTTTGGCATACCTTACAGTGACGAACTCTCGTTTCAATGTCGCCGTCCAAAGTTGGCCACCAAACGAACGACCTAGCAAGCATCTTCATCCGCGTCATTCCGGGATGTTCTTCATGCAAGAGTGTCAATACTTGCTCTTGGAGGGTTAAAGGGACGATAACCCGCTGGCCCCACGACAGACAGCCCTGTTCCAGGGAAAGTTCGTTGCGGCGGACGTAGAAAGGCCTCAGTTCCTCGGAGACGGACGATGGCCAGCCGTTTAAAGTGAAGTCAGCAACCGCTGATAAAACGCGGTCGCGCTGTGTAGCAAGTGCCACCTCTTTCGCAGTTAACGGCGTAGCCGCAAATAAAGCAAAGCATTCTTCCTGTTCTTCCGCAGCTGGAACAGGGAGCGGGAGGCGCGATAAAGCGTCGGCCACTTCCATGTTTTTGCCTTTGCGATACTTTAAGCTATACTGATAAGCAGATAGCGTGACTGCCCAACGCTGCATCCTAGCAGCCGCTAGTGACGGGATAGGCTTGTCTGGAGCCAAGATTCCAAGAAGCGGTTGATGGTCCGTGAATAAGCAAAACTTCCTGCCATACAGGTATCTGTGAAACCGTCGCAATGCGAAAATTATGGCAAGGGTTTCTTTCTCTCCTTGCGCGTAGTTTCGTTCGGCAGTGCTCAACGTGCGCGAAGCAAAAGCTATGGGTTGCTCGCTTCCATCTGGCAAAATGTGAAAGATAACGGCCCCCAGGCCGTACGCTGACGCATCAGAACTCACTCCTATCGGTCTATTGACGTCGTAGTACGTCAATACCCGACTGTTCAAAAGAAGCTGCTTCGTTGTTTCAAAGGCTTTTGCACATGCCTTTGTCCATTTCCAATGACGGTCTTTTTTGAGGAGCTCGTACAAGGGTGCAGCTGCCGTTGCAAAGTTCTCAAGAAATTTCCCGTAAAAGGTCAACAACCCCAAGTAGGCTCTTAGCTCTGTAACATTTGTCGGCTCTGGGGCAGAAATGATAGCCTTTACCTTGGTGTCGGTTGGGTAGATCCCTTCTGCCGAAACCTTGTGTCCGAGGTAAACCACGGAGTCCTGGAAGAACCTGCATTTGTCTTCCTTCAGGGTAATGTTATACTTCTGTAAGCGTTGCAGCACTTTCTCCACGGTAGCTTGGCAAGTTTTCATGTCGGTTCCTGTAACGATAACATCGTCAATATAGCATCCGACTCCCGGAATGCCCTGGAAGACCTGGTCCATCAAAGACTGAAAAATCGCCGGTGCGCTGGCGATTCCGAAAGGCAAACGCTGATACTCAAAGAGCCCTAGGTGGGTGTTGACCGTCAGCAAGCGTTTGGATTCCTCGCTCAGGGGCACCTGCTGATACGCAGACGAAAGGTCCAGCACACAAAAGACTTTTCCCCCAGCCAGTGTCGCAAACAAGTCTTCGGGCCGCGGCAGGGGGTAAACATCCATCTTGAGCACGGGGTTAACTGTTACTTTATAGTCACCACAAAGTCTAATGCCCCCGCCTGCTTTCTTCGGCACAACCACCAAGGGTGTAGCCCAGTCGCTTTTAGTGACGTGCTTCAATATTCCACGCTCTTCGAGCCTGTTCAGCTCTTTTGCTACCTCGTCCTTAAGAGCAAAGGGAATAGGTCTCGCTTTGCAGAAAACCGGCTGACTGTTTTCCTTAACCGCTATGTGGGCTTCATAATTTTTGACAATGCCCGGCGAATCCCTGAAGGGCTCAGGGAACTTCTTCCGCAACGCAGCTACCTTGTCAGGCGCCGTGACAAGGCACACTGCATTCCAGTTAATTTTAAGGTGCTCGAGCCAACTCCTACCCATCAACACTTGCATTTTCTTATCATCGTTCTGCACAACAAAAAGCGGTAGAGTCAGGCTTTGTCCCTCGTAGTCAACTTTTACATTCGCCTTGCCAACTACTGGCACCTTCTCTCCAGTATAAGTTTTCAGCGACACATTAGTTTGGTCGCAATGGACGTGGGGAAACTTTTCTTTAAACAAACTCTGAGGCATCAGGGTTACTGCTGCCCCGGTATCCAAAATCATTTCCACCGGTGTTCCTTCAACAGAAACGCTGACGCTGTAACCGGGTATCTTTTCTTTCGCGAAGAACACCACGTGACTTTCTATGTCATCAGATTCGCTGTCAGTAGTTTCTACTGCTTTAACCCGGTGACTCCGATGTTTAGTTCGACACATTACTTGTAAGTGTCCAGTCTTAGAACAAGCCTTACATTTATACGTGCGGTACCAGCACTTATCAGGCTCATGACCCTTTCCGCAGCGATAGCATGTACTCGCTTTTCCCGAAGCGTTTTCTTGATTAACTTGGCGCTCCTTCGTTGGCTTGCCTGATTTTCTCTTGTTAACGGCATTTATGGTACCCGCGGGCCCGTCAGGCCCGTCAGGCGCGTGCATTTGCTTTGTCTGCTTTGCGGCTAGTTCTTTCTCTAGGGCGATTTTGCAAGCCTCTTCGAACGACAATGGCGCAGTTGCGAACAAAATCCTTTGGGTCTCTTCATCACGTAGTCCGGCCACCAGCCTATCGCGTAAAGCGTCGTTTAAGAAAGTTCCGAAAGAACAGTTCCTCGACAAGTGCTTGAGTTCTGTAATGAATTCTAGCAAGCTTTCTCCGTCACGTTGATGTCGGCGATTAAACTGACACCTCTCGGCAATTACGGAGTATCGCGGGCTGTAGTGGTCCTCTAAGAGTCTTTTTACTTCAGCATACGATTTCGCGGTAGGGATGTCTGGTACGACAATCTTTCTTAGCTCTTCATACGCCTGTGGGCCAAGCACGTTCAGAAACAGTTTCAGTTTTTTTTCTTCGGGTACGTCGTTAATGTCGACGTAATTGTCGAACCGCTCGAAGTAAGACTTAATGTTGTCAGTCTTCGGATCAAATTCCCGCATGCTACCGAGCCTTTGAAAATGCCCTGCCGGTGGCTGCGTCATGTTCCGGCGGATTGTTTCCACTTATCTTTTTTCACGGTGTTTCGTCTGGTCCTTTCCGCTGGCCGTGCTGGAGCCAGCTGCCGACGAACGATGACTGGCGGTTCTGGCCCTGTTGCGTTGCCGGCGCGTCGGGGAATGTGCTGATCCTTTATCCCATCCTCGTCGCCAACTTGTTCTATCGCAGCATCGCAGGCAGACAGGCTCTCCGGGTAGCTGGAACGTACTGAACTTTTATTACGGCCAGACAGTCTGTTTTATAGACGTAAGCAAGAGTGACGTAATAACGTTGGGCGAATCACATGCGACCTTTACAGATGTAACAACAATAATGATGAAAGAGCAATGAGCGATGTCGGTGTCTCTCCAGGCCACTGGTCCCATGTCGTTTTGCTGCCCACATAGACGGCGACAAAATCCGTTGCATGCAGGTGTAAACGTTCAACTTTGCCGGGCAGCGTCCGTCTGGACACACCAGGAAAGCTAAATGTGTTCACAATAATGATGAAAGATCAATGAGCGATGTCGGTGTCTCTCGAGGCCGCTGGTCCCATGTCGTTTTGCTGCCCACATAGACGGCGACAAAGTCCATTGCATGCAGGTGTAAACGTTCAACTTTTCCGGGCAGCGTCCGTCTGGACACACCAGGAAAGCTAAATGTGTTCACAATAATGATGAAAGAGCAATGAGCGATGTCGGTGTTTCTTCAGGCCGCTGGTCCCATGTCGTTTTGCTGCCCACATAGACGGCGACAAAGTCCGTTGCATGCAGGTGTAAACGTTCAACTTTGCCGGGCAGCGTCCGTCTGGACACACCAGGAAAGCTAAATGTGTTCACAATAATGATGAAAGAGCAATGAGCGATGTCGGTGTTTCTTCAGGCCGCTGGTCCCATGTCGTTTTGCTGCCCACATAGACGGCGACAAAGTCCGTTGCATGCAGGTGTAAACGTTCAACTTTGCCGGGCAGCGTCCATCTGGACACACCAGGAAAGCTAAATGTGTTCACAATAACGATGAAAGAGCAATGAGCGATGGCGGTGTCTCTTCAGGCCGCTGGTCCCATGTCGTTTTGCTGCCCACATAGACGGCGACAAAGTCCGTTGCATGCAGGTGTAAACGTTCAACTTTGCCGGGCAGCGTCCGTCTGGACACACCAGGAAAGCTAAATGTGTTCACAATAATGATGAAAGAGCAATGAGCGATGTCGGTGTTTCTTCAGGCCGCTGGTCCCATGTCGTTTTGCTGCCCACATAGACGGCGACAAAGTCTGTTGCATGCAGGTGTAAACGTTCAACTTTGCCGGGCAGCGTCCGTCTGGACACACCAGGAAAGCTAAATGTGTTCACAATAATGATGAAAGAGCAATGAGCGATGTCGGTGTTTCTTCAGGCCGCTGGTCCCATGTCGTTTTGCTGCCCACATAGACGGCGACAAAGTCCGTTGCATGCAGGTGTAAACGTTCAACTTTGCCAGGCAGCGTCCGTCTGGACACACCAGGAAAGCTAAATGTGTTCACAATAATGATGAAAGAGCAATGAGCGATGTCAGTGTTTCTTCAGGCCGCTGGGCCCATGTCGTTTTGCTGCCTACATAGACGGCGACAAAGTCCGTTGCATGCAGGTGTAAACGTTCAACTTTGCCGGGCAGCGTCCGTCTGGACACACCAGGAAAGCTAAATGTGTTCACAATAATGATGAAAGAGCAATGAGCGATGTCGGTGTTTCTTCAGGCCACTGTTCCCATGTCGTTTTGCTGCCCACATAGACGGCGACAAAGTCCGTTGCATGCAGGTGTAAACGTTCAACTTTGCCGGGCAGCGTCCGTCTGGACACACCAGGAAAGCTAAATGTGTTCACAATAATGATGAAAGAGCAATGAGCGCTGTCGGTGTTTCTTCAGGCCGCTGGTCCCATGTCGTTTTGCTGCCCACATAGACGGCGACAAAGTCCGTTGCATGCAGGTGTAAACGTTCAACTTTGCCGGGCAGCGTCCGTCTGGACACACCAGGAAAGCTAAATGTGTTCACCTGAACCCTCGGGACGAGGGGAAGCCTGTCACGCTCCAAGAATTTCACCTGACTGTCGCCAATTATAACACCTTGGATAGCAGCCATGATTCTTGTTCAAACAGCTCAAACCTGTGGTTAAAACATGCGCCCCCGGCACATTGGACACGGCTGTGATGTTGGTGATCGGCGGATTCCCTACGAGGTGTCTTCCGTACTCGAACGTTGTCCCCAGATCTGGGTACGGGCTGGTCTTCTGTTAGGCGCTCGCCGGTCGCAGGAAGAAAAGTTCTGTCGGGGGCCGCTGTGTCGGTGCCTGCGTATGTCACTACAACTTCTTATAAAACTGGATAGCTTATTCGAAAAATAAGTCTCTCGCTTTGCACACGTCGGTTGCAAGCCTTTCCCGTGCTTCTTCAATGCGGACAACACTGCGAGGTTTCCCTCCCTTTTTAATCTTTTAAGTTGACGCCTCAATTGTATTATATATGTGTTAACCCAAGGATTTGGCCTTTCTGGTCGTATGATTTTATCTGGAATAAATTCAGTTATGCAGGAATTAATGATCGATTTAAATCTGTTCCGAAGATCATTAACCTCGGACCCCACGAAATAGTCGAGCTGAAATTCGAAGTAATCATTTGCTTTTGAATAATCTTTCACAATTTTGACCTGGCGAGGTCGTGCTACGGATCGCTCCACTGCACAAGAAAAGGGAACCGAATTATGATCTGAAATACCTTCCTCCATAGCAACATGAAAGTCTGGCAAATTGTTGCCGATGAACGCAAGATTTAAGATTGAACGTGAAAAACCCTCTTCACGGGTAAACAACTTTTAGTTATTGGTGAAAGGTCGAAGGAAAGCATCATATCAAGAATAATATCGAATGACTGAATGGCCATTTGGGGCGTTAACCCAATCTATATCGGGACGATTGAAGTCCCCAGCTATGATTAGTTCGTTATTTTAAAACAGTGAAACATGATCATACAGTTTTTTTTTAAAAATCAATACTTGCTGACGGAGGTCTGTAAACAGCCAAGAAAACAATCGGATGACCCCTACAGTTTAATTTCAAACAAAGGTTTTGTGATCACTGAATTGGTCCAAAACAACAACTTCAACGTTGGACTTTGTAATAATGGTGACGCCACCCCCACGGGTGGGACGGTCGTGCCGATACTTTTTGTATGATTGTGGAATTATTTCAGCATCAGTTACGCTGTCATTCAGCCAAGTTTCAGTGATCACGGCTACGTGCGGATCGAGCTTCAACAGCGTCGACTGTTGAGCAAGCCTGACACGTGAATTGACTGAGTTATCCCATACATATAGCTCGTCATCAATGCGTAATTTGTCGCCCGTTAAGCGCACCTTTTCCCCCCTTTGTTTTCGGCCCTTGCACTTTCCCACAAACACTTCCGCGTTTGAAGGGTACTTTGGGAGTAGTCTTCTAAAGAAAAATTTTGGATCCCCTCAATTTGTATGCATTTCGTAGAGCCAGCTCCTTTCCATTGAAATCTTGGAAATACAGGATAATGTGTCTTTTTTGTTGTCATTTAATTTCTTTCCAAGGCGATGAGTACGAGCCGCCGAAACGAAAGGTGGTGTACTTAGTCATTAAAAATGTCGTTGATGACTTTGGCTCGTAATTGCGCTTCGTCCTCATTACGTCTTTCATCTACCCCAAAAACAATAAGGTTCGTGCGCCGACTGTGGTCTTCTAAATCAGCAATTTTTCTGTTCTGTTGATTTGTAGTCAGAATCGTCTCCAGAGATTTAATTTTCTTTGTCTCAATAACAATACCGTGCAAAGATCGATCGATTTCCTTTACTTAGCCACCGATTTTGGGCGACTACTAAGATTTGGGCGAATACTAAGTTCTAAGATCTGCCATTTCTTGATGAATGGCAGTTAGTCCTTCTGTTGTACTTTGAAACATTTCCTCCGTGGTAGGACCTTGGGTTAACTTCCACATCGCCACAATCAGGCAACAAAAATCGTTTCAAATGAGCAACAGCTGCACACACAATGCTTGGGCACAGGAGCAACACCGAAAAAGGGTTATTACCATGGAACGTATAAGCATATTTTTTACGAACCTGGATCAAACAAAAGACAGGTTTTAGCATCCTGTTGGTGATGTAGCCGCTGCGCCCACTGAGGCAAACTGGCCGCTCGCGTCTTCTCATAGCCTCGATGATTGATGTTGATGACGACCGCGCTTCAAGAAATCCGACAGCGGGGCAGGGATTGCTGCATATTGTGACGGTCGTGTTTCCCCTTGACTCATTGATTGCAACGTCGGTGTTGCTGATAAAGCATGGCTCGTGGCAGCTGGCATTGTCATAGATCATGTTGAAAAACACCGCGACTGAGACGAGGACACAAAGAGACAAAGAGAACACAAGACAAGGCGCTGACTGTCAACGGGTTTGTTATTACAACATAAGGAAGAATGACAATGAAATGAAAAACATGGAGTCAAATGTTCGCGCGCTTGCATGGCGCCTCGTGGAATACGTCCCTTTCTTCTTTTTTCTTCCGATTGTAGCTGGTTTTCTTGTTTCTTTCCTCAGGAGCTTTTGCTACCCTGAATCTGCTGTTTTTCAACATGCGCTGTCTTTCAACATGCGCTGTCTTTCAACTTTCAACAGTCGCGCTATTTTTCAACATGAGCTCTCACCAACTCGCCCAGTTATCTATCCTTATCAATAGTCATAGAGCTGTTCGCACGCCACTAGCGGTACAAGAAGCAGCAACTGGATTGAACTAATGCATGCAAACAGCGAGTACAGTTTTTCATCTACCCACGAATCGTTCCAACCGGTGCTCAGGGTTCTGATGCACCCGCATGCTCTTGTCTCCTTCCCTTCCTGAGCTTTTACCTGCACAGAACAAACTTTAAGGAGCAGTGTCAATTACCGACTGAATTTTTCCCATTCTTTTTGTAGTGGTTTTAGTTCGAGGATTTCCTGATCTTGCTGGAGGGTAAGGACACTAATTTCTAATTTGTGTCTTTCCATGTCTGGCTTGCGTCTCTCTTCAACTGCTTTTGTCTGAGCCTGTAGCCAGCATATTTTTTGCCTCAGCTATGCGGTTGTAGATGGCTGTGGCGTCTGCGGCAGCAGAGCTCCTTTGTATGGGCCTGTTGGGTCCCTGTCGAGGCTGTCTCTGCCTGCAGGGCGTCGCTCTAGAGGGCACGGAACTGCTTCCAGAAGGAACTGGAGGATTGGCGTCTGATCCTGCCGGTCACTGTCCTGAAATCATAGATGCTTTTGCCCAATGGTATTGCAACAAA